ATAATAGAAAAAAGAAATATTGGGTACCTATGTGACTTTAATGCTGTTGCGAGATTAATACAGATGAATGGAAGCTGCAGCTCTTTACTATAATAAAGCCTCTCCATGGTATCTCCATATATATTGTCTTTTCGACGTGTTTTCATGTTCTATACTATGGGTGACATGTAGGTGGCGCTCTTGTAAACAAATAGCAACAGAATTGTCCTTTGGCATCACAAATGCGCCGATGAAAACAGCGATCGCTCACATACATAACACCTGGTCACAATTTGTGGAACAAACGTCACTATTTTTGTTTGTTACATAATATATACTATATGTTACATATAAGCTTTATAACTTTGTGAAGAAAAACATTTTCAAGTCCCGGGTAAGTGAAGTAGCTCATGGCAAAGGTCACGTGACAGGGGCTCCTGAAGGAGGTCACGTGACAGGGGCTGAACAGCGAGATCTGCGAGGGGGGGGGAGTCTGCAGCCAGATGCCTCTCGGAGTTTCCCCTGTTAAAGTGATATTCTGGAACTCTAAATGAATTAAATAAAATTAAGAATTGTATTAAATTAACCTCCTGGCCTTAAATGTTGAAATAAAATCAGCCATTTTATGAATTCTAATATTACGGGTTAGTCCCGCCTTCCTTCTCTTAGCTATTGACCAGATGCATCGACGTCAGTCACGTGATTGTGATTCAGCTTACGGCTGAAGTAGTGGAAACTAGCATTAGCATTAGCATTAGCATTGCGGCGAGAGCAAAACGGACTACAACACTTAAAAACTGAGACTCCTTAAACGAGAAGTGGCTGCTTCAAGCACATGTTTGATTACGTTATAGGTGACAGTAGGACATTAGGTCAGGGCTCACAAAGAGCAGTATTTGGAGAAGTGAAGGATCGCTGAACTGGACGTAGCTTCTCCCTTAGTCCATTTTATCGATTAAATGAAATGTCTAATTTTGCCCGAGTTCAGCCCACATGATCTTTTTCATTATGTCGTTAACAACCCCTCACACTGGAGCAGATTAATATGTGCATTGTGCTGGTCGCATTAGCACATTAGTATTAGCATATTAGCGTTAGCACATTAGCATTAGCACATTAGCATTAGCACATTAGCAATGCACTTTTCTGTCTACAGCCAAACATGACACATATTGACGGAGAGGAAAATAGTGAAAAACGCAGCTGACGTCAAAGATCAGAGATCACAGTGAGGAAGTGTCAATGTTGCAGCGCACAGACAGGACAGGAGTGACAGACACGTTTGACTTCAAGCGTTCCTTGTGTCATTGTCCTCCAAATAAATCAATGGAAAGAAAATACAGACTTGTGATTGATTTATCTTGTAAAAAGTGTTCGCTGCAGATTAGCGAGTCCTTGGCTCAGTGCTTTTGGTTGATTAGCGCCATCGTGCTCCTCTGTCTTCACGACGAGCAGGTGTCAGATAAAAAGACACATTTGGCTTATGTCCTGTTAGAACAACCAACCGCACTGCACAATGTCACAGTTTTGGTGTCATTCGGTGAAACAGGTTGTTTTGGTAAAGTTTCCGTAGGCTCGCAGTTAGACTTCCGCCGTCTGTCATGGAGAGTGGGCGTGGCCAGGACGTCACATGCACGGGGTCAATATCTCAAAACCCACGATGCCGTCCACTTTAACCAAGAGCTGTCAATCATTTATATACTGAACCTATATCCATAATCATTTATATATGAACATATATCCATAATCATTTATATATGAACATATATCCATAATCATTTATATATGAACATATATCCATAATCAGCTCCTCTGCAGATGTGTCCTATAATGTGTAATTCATGATAATAGCTTGTTCCTGATTTGCCGCGACCGCTTTTGTGCATTAAAACATAATTTTTGTCATGAAAACGTTCACAAATAATTCTGAAAACCTCTGTGCATGTGCATTAATAATGTATAAGTATAGTGTGTTCTGATAAACCCACTAAATGTGTTATGGAAACGTAGGCGTAAACCAATCAGAAATGAAAGGGGCGGAGCTTGGGTCATTTTTTTCAGATCATGAACCTCTCTCTCTTTTTTCTGACAGACTCCAGACGTTCACTTTAATGAAGGCCTCTGATTGGTCAGTCCTTATAGGACAGATATCTGGATTTACAAAGACAATATCACATACACACACCAGGATCACAGAGGTCTCTCTCCCTCTCTGGTATCTCTCTGGTCTCTCTCTCTGGTCTCTCTCTGGTCTCTCTCTGGTCTCTCTCTCTCTGGTCTCTCTCTGGTCTCTCTCTCTGGTCTCTCTCTGGTCTCTCTCTGGTCTCTCTCTCTGGTCTCTCTCTGGTCTCTCTCTGGTCTCTCTCTGGTCTCTCTCTGGTCTCTCTCTGGTCTCTCTCTGGTCTCTCTCTCTGGTCTCTCTCTGGTCTCTCTCTGGTCTCTCTCTGGTCTCTCTCTGGTCTCTCTCTCTGGTCTCTCTCTGGTCTCTCTCTGGTCTCTCTCTCTGGTCTCTCTCTGGTCTCTCTCTCTGGTCTCTCTCTCTGGTCTCTCTCTGGTCTCTATCTGGTCTCTCTCTGGTCTCTCTCTCTGGTCTCTCTCTCTGGTCTCTCTCTGGTCTCTCTCTCTAGTCTCTCTCTGGTCTCTCTCTCTGGTCTCTCTCTCTGGTCTCTCTCTGGTCTCTCTCTCTGGTCTCTCTCTGGTCTCTCTCTCTGGTCTCTCTCTGGTCTCTCTCTCTAGTCTCTCTCTGTGGTCTCTCTCTGGTCTCTATCTCTAGTCTCTGGTCTCTCTCTGGTCTCTCTCTGGTCTCTATCTATGGTCTCTCTCTGGTCTCTCTCTGGTCTCTCTCTGGTCTCTCTCTCTGGTCTCTCTCTCTGGTCTCTCTCTGGTCTCTCTCTCTGGTCTCTCTCTCTGGTCTCTCTCTCTGGTCTCTCTCTGGTCTCTCTCTGGTCTCTCTCTGGTCTCTCTCTCTAGTCTCTCTCTGGTCTCTCTCTCTAGTCTCTCTCTCTGGTCTCTCTCTCTGGTCTCTCTCTGGTCTCTCTCTCTGGTCTCTCTCTGGTCTCTCTCTCTGGTCTCTATCTCTAGTCTCTGGTCTCTCTCTGGTCTCTCTCTCTGGTCTCTATCTCTGGTCTCTCTCTGGTCTCTCTTTGGTCTCTATCTCTGGTCTCTCTCTGGTCTCTCTCTCTGGTCTCTCTCTCTGGTCTCTCTCTGGTCTCTCTCTGGTCTCTCTCTCTGGTCTCTCTCTCTGGTCTCTCTCTCTGGTCTCTCTCTTTGGTCTCTATCTCTGGTCTCTCTCTGGTCTCTCTCTCTGGTCTCTCTCTGGTCTCTCTCTCTGGTCTCTCTCTGGTCTCTCTCTCTAGTCTCTCTCTGTGGTCTCTCTCTGGTCTCTCTCTGGTCTCTCTCTGGTCTCTCTCTGGTCTCTCTCTGGTCTCTCTCTGGTCTCTCTCTCTGGTCTCTCTCTCTGGTCTCTCTCTGGTCTCTCTCTCTGGTCTCTCTCTGGTCTCTCTCTGGTCTCTCTTTCTGGTCTCTCTCTCTGGTCTCTCTCTGGTCTCTCTCTGGTCTCTCTCTGGTCTCTCTCTCTAGTCTCTCTCTGGTCTCTCTCTCTAGTCTCTCTCTCTGGTCTCTCTCTCTGGTCTCTCTCTGGTCTCTCTCTCTGGTCTCTCTCTGGTCTCTCTCTCTGGTCTCTATCTCTAGTCTCTGGTCTCTCTCTGGTCTCTCTCTCTGGTCTCTCTCTCTGGTCTCTATCTCTGGTCTCTATCTCTGGTCTCTCTCTGGTCTCTCTCTGGTCTCTCTTTGGTCTCTATCTCTGGTCTCTCTCTGGTCTCTCTCTCTGGTCTCTCTCTCTGGTCTCTCTCTTTGGTCTCTCTCTGGTCTCTCTCTGGTCTCTCTCTCTGGTCTCTCTCTCTGGTCTCTCTCTCTCTGGTCTCTCTCTTTGGTCTCTATCTCTGGTCTCTCTCTTTGGTCTCTATCTCTGGTCTCTCTCTTTGGTCTCTATCTCTGGTCTCTCTCTGGTCTCTCTCTCTGGTCTCTCTCTCTGGTCTCTCTCTGGTCTCTCTCTGGTCTCTCTCTCTGGTCTCTCTCTGGTCTCTCTGGTCTCTCTCTGGTCTCTCTCTCTGGTCCCTCTCTCTGGTCTCTATCTCTAGTCTCTCTCTGGTCTCTCTCTCTGGTCTCTCTCTGGTCCCTCTCTGGTCTCTCTCTGGTCTCTCTCTGGTCTCTCTCTCTGGTCTCTCTCTCTGGTCTCTCTCTGGTCTCTCTCTGGTCTCTCTCTGGTCTCTCTCTCTGGTCTCTCTCTGGTCTCTCTCTGGTCTCTCTCTCTGGTCCCTCTCTCTGGTCTCTATCTCTAGTCTCTCTCTGTGGTCTCTCTCTGGTCTCTATCTCTAGTCTCTGGTCTCTCTCTGGTCTCTCTCTCTGGTCTCTCTCTCTGGTCTCTCTCTGGTCTCTCTCTGGTCTCTCTCTCTGGTCTCTCTCTGGTCTCTCTCTGGTCTCTCTCTGGTATCTCTCTGGTCTCTCTCTCTGGTCTCTCTCTGGTCTCTCTCTGGTCTCTCTCTGGTCTCTCTCTCTGGTCCCTCTCTCTGGTCTCTATCTCTAGTCTCTCTCTGTGGTCTCTCTCTGGTCTCTCTCTGGTCTCTATCTCTAGTCTCTGGTCTCTCTCTGGTCTCTCTCTCTGGTCTCTCTCTGGTCTCTCTCTGGTCTCTCTCTGGTCTCTCTCTGGTCTCTCTCTGGTCTCTCTCTCTGGTTTCTCTCTGGTCTCTCTCTCTGGTCTCTCTATCTGGTCTCTCTCTCTGGTCTCTCTCTGGTCTCTCTCTGGTCTCTCTCTCTGGTCTCTCTCTCTGGTCTCTCTCTCTGGTCTCTCTCTCTGGTCTCTCTCTGGTCTCTCTCTCTGGTCTCTCTCTGGTCTCTCTCTCTGGTCTCTTTCTGGTCTCTCTCTCTGGTCTCTCTCTGGTCTCTCTCTCTGGTCTCTTTCTGGTCTCTCTCTCTGGTCTCTCTCTGGTCTCAGTGATCTTCATGTTTCCTGGTCCTGATAGAAGAGAACTCTCTGTAACAGGGAGACAGAGGAGAACCAGGATTACCAGGGACCACAGGAGAGACTGGTCTGGCTGGACTCCCAGGACCTATGGGACCAGTGGGACGTCCAGGACCCCCGGGACCACCAGGACCAGGCCGCTCCAGGGCGGGATTTGTAAGTGTGTTACTGTGAAGGACTAGCAAGACTAAAGTAGGTCTAAAGCAGGACTCAAGTAGGTCCAAAGCAGGTCTAAAATAGGAATAAAGCAGGACTAAACCTGGACCACTGCAAGTCTAAACCTGGACTAGAGCAGGACTAAAGCAGGACTAAAGCAGGTCTAAGGCTGGACTAAAGCAGGACTTGTTCTGACTGAGTTGGGTCTGTTCCAGGACGACATGGAGGGCTCTGGAGGGTTCGGACTTCCCGGACTCCGAGGACCCGAGGGGCCACAGGTACCGCGTCACTCACAGCTGAACTCTAACGTTAGAGTTTAGTTCTAACGTGTTCTCTCCTGTGTTCAGGGCCCACCTGGACTTCCCGGACTTCCTGTGAGTCTCAGTGCTCTACTTTCCAATAGCTCCTTTTTCTAAAATGTGAAATACCAAAGTGAAAGTTAGATTAAAGCTGAGGTCTGTAACTTTCAGACCAACAGAACTCTGTATTAAACATGTCTCTGGTTCTGGCTCTAAAACAGTTTCTTCTCTCACTAGTTTCACACTATGTATTTGTGATGTCACATGTTTGGATCAGCTTTTACAGACAGTAAAAGAGAGAGATCTCTCTCTGGTCTCTCTCTGGTCTCTCCCTGGTCTCTCTGGTCTCTCTCTCTGGTATTTCTGGTCTCTCTCTCTGGTCTTTCTGGTCTCTCTCTCTCTGGTCTCTCTCTGGGGTCTCTCTGGTCTCCATCTGGTCTCTCTCTGGTCTCTCTCTAGTCTAGTCTGGACCCTCTCTGGTCTCTCTCTGATCTCTCTGGTCTCTCTCTCTGGTCTTTCTGGTCTCTCTCTGGTCTCTCTCTAGTCTACTCTGGACCCTCTCTGGTCTCTCTCTGATCTCTCTGGTCTCTCTCTGGTCTTTCTGGTCTCTCTCTCTCTGGTCTCTCTCTGGGGTCTCTCTGGTCTCCATCTGGTTTCTCTCTGGTCTCTCTCTAGTCTAGTCTGGACCCTCTCTGGTCTCTCTGATCTCACTGGTCTCTCTCAGGTCTCTCTCTGGTCTCTCTCAGGTCTCTCTCTGGTCTCTCTCTGGTCTCTCTCAGGTCTCTCTCTGGTCTCTTACTGGTCTCTCTCTGGTCTCTCTCTGGTCTCTTGCTGGTCTCTCTCTGGTCTCTCTCTGGTTTCTCTCTGGTCTCTTGCTGGTCTCTTGCTGGTCTCTCTCTGGTCTCTCTCTGGTCTCTCTCTGGTCTCTTTCTGGTCTCTCTCTGGTCTCTTGCTGGTCTCTCTCTGGTCTCTCCCTGGTCTCTCTGGTCTTTCTGGTCTCTCTCTCTCTGGTCTCTCTCTCTGGTCTTTCTGGTCTCTCTCTCTCTGGTCTCTCGCTGGTCTCTCTCTAGTCTAGTTTGGACCCTCTCTGGTCTCTCTCTGATCTCACTGGTCTCTCTCAGGTCTCTTTCTGGTCTCTCTCTGGTCTCTTGCTGGTCTCTCTCTGGTCTCTCTCTGGTCTCTCTCTGGTCTCTCTGGTCTCTCTCTGGTCTCTCGCTGGTCTCTCTCTGGTCTCTCTCTGGTCTCTCTCTGGTCTCTTGCTGGTCTCTTGCTGGTCTCTTGCTGGTCTCTCTCTGGTCTCTCGCTGGTCTCTCTTTGGTCTCTCTCTGGTTTCTCTCTGGTCTCTTGCTGGTCTCTTTCTGGTCTCTCTTTGGTCTCTTGCTGGTCTCTCTCTGGTCTCTCTCTGGTCTCTCTCTGGTCTCTCTCTGGTCTCTCTCTGGTCTCTTGCTGGTCTCTCTCTGGTCTCTCTCTGGTCTCTCTTTGGTCTCTCTCTTGCTGGTCTCTCTCTGGTCTCTCGCTGGTCTCTCTCTGGTCTCTAACCTCTGGTCTTGTGTTTGGTCCAGGGAAAGCCTGGTCTTCCGGGGTTCCCAGGACAGAAAGGCTCAGAGGGGTCTCAGGGCAGGGATGGTCAGCCCGGTCTGGACGGGTTCCCAGGACCCCAGGTAAAGACAGAGTTTAGAGCAGGCACCTGAGTGGACAGCCCTGACTCTGTGTGTCGTTCCAGGGTCTTAAAGGAGAAGCCGGAGAACGAGGAGAGAGAGTGAGTCTGCACATCTGTGACTTTAATATTGTCTTTTTACATAATAATAATAATCACAGGTTATTATTTATATAATCATAATAATAACTCTACTCTACTCTACTCTACTCTACTCTACTCTACCCTACTCTACTCTACTCTACTCTACCCTACTCTGTCCTACCCTACCCTACACTACCCTACACTACCCTACTCTACCCTACTCTACTCTACTCTACCCTACTCTACCCTACTCTACCCTACTCTACCCTACCCTACCCTACCCTACCCTACCCTGCCCTGCCCTGCCCTACCCTACCCTACCCTACCCTACCCTACCCTACCCTACCCTACTCTACTCTACTCTACTCCTGATGTCACCAGTGTGAGAATGTTGCTTCTGTGTCTCAGGGAGAACCAGGCCGAGACGGGACTGGACTCCAGGGCCCCCCCGGCCCCCCCGGGCCCCCAGGACAGGTCATCTACAGGGGCCAAGGCAGTGTAAGCAGCTGCAGCCTGACTCTACATGAATCAGTCTGACTCTACATGAATCCGTTTGACTCTACATGAATCAGTCTGACTCTACATGAATCAGTCTGACTCTACATGAATCAGACTGACTCTACATGAATCAGTCTGACTCTGCATGAATCAGTCTGACTCTGCATGAATCAGTCTGACTCTACATGAATCAGTCTGACTCTGCATGAATCAGTCTGACTCTACATTAATCAGTCTGACTCTACATGAATCAGTCTGACTCTGCATGAATCAGCCTGACTCTACATGAATCAGTCTGACTCTACATGAATCAGCCTGACTCTACATGAATCAGACTGACTCTACATGAATCAGTCTGACTCTGCATGAATCAGTCTGACTCTACATGAATCAGACTGACTCTACATGAATCAGTCTGACTCTGCATGAATCAGTCTGACTCTACATTAATCAGACTGACTCTACATGAATCAGTCTGACTCTGCATGAATCAGTCTGACTCTACATTAATCAGTCTGACTCTACATGAATCAGACTGACTCTACATGAATCAGTCTGACTCTACATGAATCAGACTGACTCTACATGAATCAGTTTGACTCTACATGAATCAGTTTGACTCTACATGAATCAGTCTGACTCTGCATGAATCAGTCTGACTCTACATGAATCAGTCTGACTCTACATGAATCAGTCTGACTCTACATGAATCAGCCTGACTCTACATGAATCAGCCTGACTCTACATGAATCAGCCTGACTCTACATGAATCAGCCTGACTCTACATGAATCAGTCTGACTCTACATGAATCAGCCTGACTCTACATGAATCAGTCTGACTCTGCATGAATCAGTCTGACTCTACATGAATCAGTCTGACTCTACATGAATCAGACTGACTCTACATGAATCAGTCTGACTCTACATGAATCAGACTGACTCTACATGAATCAGTCTGACTCTGCATGAATCAGTCTGACTCTACATGAATCAGTCTGACTCTACATGAATCAGCCTGACTCTACATGAATCAGTCTGACTCTGCATGAATCAGTCTGACTCTACATGAATCAGTCTGACTCTACATGAATCAGTCTGACTCTACATGAATCAGTCTGACTCTACATGAATCAGACTGACTCTACATGAATCAGTCTGACTCTACATGAATCAGCCTGACTCTACATGAACAGATTGGGTTCAGACCCGACAGAGACCAGAAGGAGACATGAGGAGTGAGGAGGTGACAGAGCTGCGATGGGGAGGAGGAGGGTTGCTGTATGAATGAAGCTTGATGCCCAATGCCCCGGACGAGGATTGACAGATGCTGTTGCCGTGGCGACAGGACTGAGCTTCTACTTCCAGACTGAACCTCTGCTTTAGCTTCATGTCTGCCTCAACAACAGTCATTAAAAGTCACTAAAAGTCATTAAAAGTCATTAAAAGTCACTAAAAACCCCAGAATCTGAACCATGTGAGTTTCCGTCTCTGCTGCAGATTTTTATAAATGACTTTTCTTCTTTTGTGTCACAGTCTGAGCAGATCTATGGAGCTGCTGGACCCGAGGTGAGGGTCTGTCTTTACTGTTGGAACACTCTTCTCTCTCTGGTCTCTCTCTGGTCTCTCTCTGGTCTCTCTCTCTCTGGTCTCTCTCTGGTCTCTCTGTGGTCTCTCTCTGGTCTCTCTCTGGTCTCTCTCTGGTCTCTCTGTGGTCTCTCTCTCTGGTCTCTCTCTGGTCTCTCTCTGGTCTCTCTCTGGTCTCTCTCTGGTCTCTCTCTCTGGTCTCTCTCTGGTCTCTCTCTGGTCTCTCTCTGGTCTCTCTCTCTGGTCTCTCTCTGGTCTCTCTGTGGTCTCTCTCTGTGGTCTCTCTCTGGTCTCTCTCTGGTCTCTCTCTGGTCTCTCTCTGGTCTCTCTCTCTCGGTCTCTCTCTCTGGTCTCTCTCTCTGGTCTCTCTCTGGTCTCTCTCTCTGGTCTCTCTCTGGTCTCTCTCTGGTCTCTCTCTGGTCTCTCTCTGGTCTCTCTGTGGTCTCTCTCTGGTCTCTCTCTGGTCTCTCTCTCTGGTCTCTCTCTGGTCTCTCTCTGGTCTCTCTCTGGTCTCTCTCTCTGGTCTCTCTCTGGTCTCTCTCTGGTCTCTCTCTGGTCTCTCTCTGGTCTCTCTGTGGTCTCTCTCTGGTCTCTCTCTGGTCTCTCTCTGGTCTCTCTCTGGTCTCTCTCTGGTCTCTCTCTCTGTTCTCTCTCTGGTCTCTCTCTCTGGTCTCTCTCTGGTCTCTCTCTGGTCTCTCTCTGGTCTCTCTCTGGTCTCTCTCTCTGGTCTCTCTCTGGTCTCTCTCTGGTCTCTCTGTGGTCTCTCTCTGGTCTCTTTTCAGTCCAACACAGTATCATCTGTTTTCTTGTTTTAGGGCAGAGCTGGACTTCCTGGTCACGCAGGCTTTCCTGTGAGTATTGCTCTAGTCTCTGTCTGGTCTCTCTCTGGTCTCTCTCTGGTCTCTCTCTGACAGTTGCTGGTTTTTTGTAGGGACCAGTTGGACCTAAAGGAGAGCGTGGAGAGCCTGGTCTGCCTGGATATGCTCCGAAGGTAAATCCAGTCCCAGTTGTGCAACACAAATAAACTGACTTTGTGCATCGGTCTAGGCTCAGTTTGGTCTCATCTGGTGATGTCATCATTTACAAGCCTGTGTGTGTGTGTGTGTGTGTGTGTGTGTGTGTGTGTGTGTGTGTGGTGTTCCAGGGGGAAAAGGGAGAGCCAGGTTTGGTGGTGGGACCTGACGGGAGCCTCCTGCGGCTGGAAGGACTCTCAGGACAGAAGGTAACACAACTGGACTGAGTTGGACCAGTGTGTGACAGTGTTGTGTGTTGCAGTGTGTGACAGTGTTGTGTGTTGCAGTGTGTGACAGTGTTGTGTGTTGCAGGGGGACAGAGGAGATCCGGGACCAGTTGGACCGATGGTGAGTGAGCTTTTCTGGTTTTATTGTGTGTCCGTGTCGTCCTCATGAACTGTTGTGATGTGTTCAGGGTCCACATGGTCCAACAGGCGTCAAAGGAGAGATCGGGATGCCCGGCCGACCTGTGAGTGTCTCTCTCTGGTCTCTCTCTAGTCTCTCTTTGGTCTCTCTCTGGTCTCTCTCTGGTCTCTCTCTGGTCTCTCAAGTCTCTCTCTAGTCTCTCTCTAGTCTCTCTTTGGTCTCTCTCTGGTCTCTTTCTAGTCTCTATCTCTGGTCTCTCTCTGGTCTCTCTCTAGTCTCTCTCTCTGGTCTCTCTCCGGTCTCTCTCTGGTCTCTCTCTGGTCTCTTTCTAGTCTCTATCTCTGGTCTCTCTCTGGTCTCTCTCTGGTCTCTCTCTGGTCTCTCTCTGGTCTCTCAAGTCTCTCTCTAGTCTCTCTCTAGTCTCTCTTTGGTCTCTCTCTGGTCTCTTTCTAGTCTCTATCTCTGGTCTCTCTCTGGTCTCTCTCTAGTCTCTCTCTCTGGTCTCTCTCCGGTCTCTCTCTGGTCTCTCTCTGGTCTCTTTCTAGTCTCTATCTCTGGTCTCTCTCTCTGACCTCTGTCTTGTGTTTAGGGTCGTCCTGGAGTGAACGGATACAAAGGAGAGAAGGGAGAGTCTGGATCCGGGTCTGGGTTTGGATACCCGGTGAGTCAGGACCGCTTTCTCCACTCTTTACACCAGGCATGTCAACGTCAAATACATCAGAGGGCCAAAAAAACAAATTTGCTGCGAGCCGAGGGCCGGACTGGTTCAATGTTTATTAACTCATTGCCTGCCAGCCTATTTCAGAACAGGTACTCCCATATTGCCAGCAGTTTCTGATGATTTTTATAGATTTTTCAAGACCCGCAGAATATTGTGGACTATGACTATCTGAAATCTGAAACCAGATTCTGAAAGAATAGACTGTCTACTTTCATCAGCAAAAAGAATTCTTTTTCTAGCTTGTAATCCCCAGTTGAGTAGAGGGAAGTTTTACTGAAATCACCAAAAAGCTGAGAAAAAAGAGGCACAACAAGTGCATCTAGCTGTTTTCAAACCATTCAGAGAGCGCTGCTGCCACCTGCTGGCTCGATTCAATATGCTCTCAAGTTTATCCCCAAACATATTAGATATAATAGACATCTGGGAACATGACAATAGCGGAAAACGCAATTGACGTAATAGTGCGTCAATGGCAGGCAGCGGGCCATGTAAAATTCACTTGACTTTGACACATGTGCTTTACACCATCCCAACATGGCCGCTTTCTCCACTCTTTACACCATCCCAACATGGCCGCTTTCTCCACTCTCTGGACTCAGAGACCTCAGAGTCTGGACCTCAGAGTCACGACTCAGAAACCTCAGAGTCTGGACCTCAGAGTCACGACTCAGAGACCTCAGAGTCACACCTCAGAGACCTCAGAGTCACGACTCAGAGACCTCAGAGTCACGACTCAAGGACCTCAGAGTCACGACTCAAAGACCTCAGAGTCTGGACCTCAGAGTCACGATTCAGAGACCTCAGAGTCACGACTCAGAGACCTCAGAGTCACAACTCAGAGACCTCAGAGTCACGACTCAAGAGACCTCAGAGTCACAACTCAGAGACCTCAGAGTCACGACTCAGAGACCTCAGAGTCACGACTCAAGAGACCTCAGAGTCACGACTCAAAGACCTCAGAGTCACGACTCAAGAGACCTCAGAGTCACGACTCAAAGACCTCAGAGTCACGACTCAAGAGACCCTCAGAGTCTGGACCTCAGAGTCACGACTCAGAGACCTCAGAGTCTGGACCTCAGAGTCACAACTCAGAGACCTCAGAGTCTGGACCTCAGAGTCACGACTCAAAGACCTCAGAGTCACGACTCAAGAGACCTCAGAGTCACGACTCAGAGACCTCAGAGTCTGGACCTCAGAGTCACGACTCAAAGACCTCAGAGTCACAACTCAGAGACCTCAGAGTCACGACTCAGAGACCTCAGAGTCACGACTCAAGGACCTCAGAGTCACGACTCAAGAGACCTCAGAGTCACGACTCAAAGACCTCAGAGTCACGACTCAAGAGACCTCAGAGTCTGGACCTCAGAGTCACGACTCAGAGACCTCAGAGTCTGGACCTCAGAGTCACAACTCAGAGACCTCAGAGTCTGGACCTCAGAGTCACGACTCAAAGACCTCAGAGTCACGACTCAAGAGACCTCAGAGTCACGACTCAGAGACCTCAGAGTCTGGACCTCAGAGTCACGACTCAAAGACCTCAGAGTCACAACTCAGAGACCTCAGAGTCACGACTCAGAGACCTCAGAGTCTGGACCTCAGAGTCACAACTCAGAGACCTCAGAGTCTGGACCTCAGAGTCTGGACCTCAGAGTCACGACTCAGAGACCTCAGTGATGAAACCTGTGTGTGTGTGTGTTCCCAGGGCCCCCCCGGACCCCCTGGCCCCCCTGGCGCCCCTGGACCCTCTCAACCCTACGACCGCTTCAATGTGAGTGCAGGGGATGGAGACTTTTGCAGCTCCTGTCACAGTCCGAGTCTGTACCATCAGTGGGACGTCCCAAAGTCACTAACATCAACTGTGTCTGTTTTATCTGCAGCGCTTTGAAGACAACGCCCAGAGCTACGGAGGTACCAACACTCTCTACTCCTCCTAGTCTCTCTCTGTTCTCTCTCTGGTCTCTCTTTGGTCTCTCTCTGGTCTCTCTCTGGTCTCTCTCTGGTCTCTTTCTGGTCTCTCTCTGGTCTCTCTCTGGTCTCTCTCTCTGGTCTCTCTCTGGTCTGAAAGTCCCGTAGCCCAGCTTTAAGACAACACAGCCCATAGATAAACGTCTGTAAACTTTACAGATGTTTGTTGTTTCAGGTCACAAAGGAGACAAAGGAGACCAGGGCCTTCCCGGAGCGCCAGGTCTGATCTCTTCACTTCTGCTAAAGTCATGAACAAACACTCACAATCTGACTTCTTTTCTACAGGATCTGGCAACGTGGACGTTTATGGTTACCTGGTGAGTTCAGGGGGACGGAGACACATGCAAACACAACCATGTGTATCTCTGCTCTCACAGACACACACAGTACACTCACAGACACACTCACAGACACACTCACAGACACACACAGTACACTCACAGACACACACAGTACAACACAGACACACACAGTACAACACAGACACTCACAGACACACACAGACACACACAGACACACACAGTACACACTCACAGACACTCACAGACACACACAAACACTCACAGACACTCACAGACACTCACAGACACTCACAGACACACACAGACACACACAGACACTCACAGACACTCACAGACACTCACAGACACACACAGACACTCACAGACACTCACAGACACACACAGACACACACAGACACTCACAGACACACACAGACACACACAGACACACACAGACACTCACAGACACACACAGACACTCACAGACACTCACAGACACACACAGACACACTCACAGACACTCACAGACACACACAGACACACACAGACACTCACAGACACACACAGACACACACAGACACTCACAGAAACTCACAGACACACACAGACACACACAGACACTCACAGACACTCACAGACACACACAGACACACAGAGACACTCACAGACACTCACAGACACACACAGACACACACAGTACAACACAGACACTCACAGACACACACAGTACAACACAGTACAACACAGACACACACAGACACTCACAGACACTCACAGACACTCACAGACACACACAGACACACACAGTACAACACAGTACAACACAGACACACACAGACACTCACAGACACTCACAGACACACACAGACACACACAGTACGACAGACACTCACAGACACGCACAGACACACACAGACACTCACAGACCCACACAGACACACAGACACTCACAGACACTCACAGACACACACAGACACACACAGACACTCACAGACACTCACAGAAACTCACAGACACACACAGACACTCACAGACACTCACAGACACACACAGACACACACAGACACTCACAGACACACACAGAAACTCACAGACATTCACAGACATTCACAGACACTCACAGACACATACAGACACTCACAGACACTCACAGACACTCACAGACACACACAGACACACACAGACACTCACAGAAACTCACAGACACACACAGACACTCACAGACACACACACAGACACTCACAGACACTCACAGACACTCACAGACACACACAGACACTCACAGACACTCACAGACACTCACAGACACTCACAGACACTCACAGACACAGACACACAGACACTCACAGACACTCACAGACACTCACAGACACACACAGACACTCACAGACACACACAGACACTCACAGACACACACACACAGACACTCACAGACACTCACAGACACTCACAGACACACACAGACACTCACAGACACTCACAGACACACACAGACACAGACACTCACAGACACACACAGACACACACAGACACTCACAGACACACACACAGACACTCACAGACACACACAGACACTCACAGACACTCACAGACACTCACAGACACACACAGACACTCACAGACACTCACAGACACTCACAGACACTCACACAGACACACACAGACACTCACAGACACTCACAGACACTCACAGACACACACAGACACACACAGACACTCACAGACACTCACAGAAACTCACAGACATTCACAGACATTCACAGACACACACAGACACACACAGTACAACACAGACACACACAGACACACACAGACACTCACAGACACACACAGACACACACAGACTCACAGACACACACAGACACACACAGACACTCACAGACACTCACAGACACACACAGACACTCACAGACACACACAGACACACACAGACACACACAGACACTCACAGACACTCACAGACACACACACAGACACACACAGACACACACAGACACACACAGTACACACAGACACTCACAGACACTCACAGACACTCACAGACACACACAGACACACACAGACACACACAGACACACACACAGACACACACACACAGACACACACAGACACACACAGACACACACACACACACAGACACACACAGACACACACAGACACACACAGACACACACAGACACACACACAGACACACACAGACACACACAGACACACACAGACACACACACAGACACACACAGACACACACAGACAACACACAGACACACACACAGACACACACAGACACACACAGACACACACACAGACAACACACAGACACACACAGACACACACAGACACACACACAGACACACACAGACACACACAGACACACACAGACACACACACAGACACACACACAGACACACACACAGACACACACACAGACACACACAGACAGACACAGACACAGACACACACACACACAGACACACACACACACACACACAGACAGACACACACAGACACACACAGACACACACAGACACACACACAGACACACAGAACACAGACATTCACAGACATTCACAGACACACACAGACACACACAGTACAACACAGACACACACAGACACACACAGACACTCACAGACACACACACAGACACTCACAGACACACACAGACACACACAGACACTCACAGACACTCACAGACACACACAGACACACACAGACACACACAGACACTCACAGACACACACAGACACTCACAGACACTCACAGACACACACAGACACACACAGACACACACAGACACTCACAGACATTCACAGACACACACAGACACACACAGACACACACAGACACACACAGTACAACACAGACACTCACAGACACTCACAGACACTCACAGACACACACAGACACTCACAGACACTCACAGACACTCACAGACACACACAGACACACACACAGACACACACAGACACTCACAGACACACACAGACACTCACAGACACTCACAGACACTCACAGACACACACAGACACACACAGACACACACAGACACTCACAGACACACACAGACACACACAGACACACACAGACACACACAGACACTGACACCTAGAGGTCGGAGGTGCATTACAGCCGCTGCTCTCTGTAAGTGGTCTAAATCTGTGACTGAGGCCAAACATCATGTTGTAATTCCCAGAACGACCTGAAGGGGGAGCGAGGAGAGTCTGGACTGAAGGGAGAGAAGGGAGAGCCCGGCGGAGGCTCCTATGATCCCAACGCTGTTCTACAAGGACCTCCAGGGTCTGCAGGAGCTCCAGGTCTACCAGTGAGTCCAGACCAGGACCAGAGACCTGGAACAGAGACCAGAGGACCAGAGGACCAGGACCAGAGACCAGGACCAGAGACCAGCACCAGAGACCAGCACCAGAGACCAGCACCAGAGACCAGCACCCGAGACCAGGACCAGCTCTAACAGTCTGCTCTGCTTTAAGGGGCCCAAGGGAGACTCTGTGGTGGGACCTCCAGGACCTCAGGGCCCTCCTGGAGCACCAGGTGTGGGGTACGATGGTCGGCCTGGAGCCCCTGGTCCTCCTGGGCCCCCAGGAAACCCCAGCTCCACAGGACAGGGATACGGAGGGTTCCCACGTGAGTGACTGCTGCTGAGGTTTGTCTGGATCCAACTGATGTCACATTCTGTGTTCTCTCTGCAGCTGTCACAGTCCCTGGTCCTCCTGGTCCTCCCGGGCCCCCAGGAGCCCCTGGAATCACCTCAGGGGTAAGTGCTCTGCTGATCCTCTCCAGAGACACAGTGAAGGCTCCGGGTCTGGGTCTGGGTCTGGGTCTGGTCTGTATCAGTCAAGGATCCTCCTCGGACCTGAGCTCTTCATGTGTCTCAGAGATGAACCTTCTTCAGACCTGGGTTACACTCCGGCCTCTCTGACCTGTGACCCCGCCCCTCTGACCTCTGACCCCTGTTACCAGGTGACTGTCCTGGGCTCCTACAGCAGTATGATGGCCTCTGCGCGGCGACAGCCTGAGGGAAGTCTCATCTTCATTTTGGACAAAGCAGATCTGTATCTGAGAGTGAGAGACGGAGTCAGACAAGTCATGGTAACACAACCACACACAACCACACACACACGCAACCACACACACACACACGCACACAACCACACACAGAGACACACACAGACACACACAGGCACACACACACAGACACACACACACACACAGAAAAATGCTTGGTCTACAGTTAAATCAGAGTATAAAATGCAACCAGAGAGACCAGACCAGAGAGAGACCAGAGAGAGACCAGAGAGAGACCAGACCAGAGAGAGACCAGAGAGAGACCAGAGAGAGACCAGAGAGAGACCAGAGAGAGACCAGACCAGAGAGAGACCAGAAAGAGACCAGAGAGAGACCAGAGAGAGACCAGAGAGAGACCAGAGAGAGACCAGAGAGAGACCAGAGAGAGACCAGAGAGAGACCAGAGGGAGACCAGAGAGAGACCAGAGAGAGACCAGACCAGAGAGAGACCAGAGAGAGACCAGAGAGAGACCAGAGAGAGACCAGAGAGAGACCAGAGAGAGACCAGAGAGAGACCAGAGGGAGACCAGAGAGAGAGACCAGAGAGAGACCAGAGAGAGACCAGAGAGAGACCAGAGAGAGACCAGAGAGAGACTAGAGAGAGACCAGAGAGAGAGACCAGAGAGAGAGACCAGAGAGAGAGACCAGAGAGAGACCAGAGAGAGACCAGAGAGAGACTAGAGAGAGACTAGAGAGAGACCAGAGAGAGACCAGAGAGAGACCAGAGAGAGACCAGAGAGAGACTAGAGAGAGACCAGAGAGAGAGACCAGAGAGAGAGACCAGAGAGAGACCAGAGAGAGACCAGAGAGAGAGACCAGAGAGAGACCAGAGAGAGACCAAAGAGAGACTAGAGAGACCAGAGAGAGACCAGAGAGAGAGACCAGAGAGAGAGACCAGAGAGAGAGACCAGAGAGAGACCAGAGAGAGAGACCAGAGAGAGACCAGAGAGAGAGACCAGAGAGAGACCAGAGAGAGACCAGAGGGAGACCAGAGAGAGAGCATCACTGATGTCACATGATCACAGACTATAAAGGTAGAACATGGTTAAAATCTGTCTGAATGTCTCCTGCTGGTCCGCCCTCAGTCTAAGTCTCTGTCAGGTTTGAAGTTATTGATGGTGTGTGTTGCTGGTTGCGCTGACGGAGGCAGGAGTTAGAGAGAAGCCCAGTCCGTCCACTTTAATTTAATGTTAACATAAAATATATTGATCAAATCCAGTTTATGATCCACATAAATAATGGTCTTATGAAGACAGCGGCTGGAGGATGCTACACTCTCTCTCTCTGGTCTCTCTCTGGTCTCTCTCTGGTCTCTCTCTGGTCTCTCTCTGGTCTCTCTCTGGTCTCTCTCTAGTCTCTCTCTGGTCTCTCTCTGGTCTCTCTCTCTGGTCTCTCTCTGGTCTCTCTCTAGTCTCTCTCTGGTCTCTCTCTGGTCTCTCTCTGGTCTCTCTCTGGTCTCTCTCTAGTCTCCCTCTGGTCTCTCTCTGGTCTCTCTCTAGTCTCTCTCTGGTCTCTCTCTCTGGTCTCTCTCTGGTCTCTCTCTCTGGTCTCTCTCTCTGGTCTCTCTCTGGTCTCTCTCTGGTCTCTCTCTGGTCTCTCTCTGGTCTCTCTCTGGTCTCTCTCTGGTCTCTCTGGTCTCTCTCTCTGGTCTCTCTCTGGTCTCTCTGGTCTCTCTCTCTGGTCTCTCTCTGGTCTCTCTCTGGTCTCTCTCTGGTCTCTCTCTGGTCTCTCTGGTCTCTCTCTCTGGTCTCTCTCTGGTCTCTCTCTGGTCTCTCTCTGGTCTCTCTGGTTTTCATGTTTCTCTTTCTTTCCTTTCGCAGCTTGGAGATTATAATCCGTTCTTCAGAGATTTGGAGAATGAAGTCGCTGAAGTCCATCCTCCTCCAGTGGTGGTCTACCCCCAGTCCCCCGTCCACAGAGACCAGTCCAGAGACCAGTCCAGAGACCAGTCCAGAGACCAGTCCAACGGAGCGGGGCATTACTCAGAGAGCGCAGTGAGACCGTTGGGGCCTCCAGAAGGACCCTCTCAGTACCCCCCACACTACGACCCTCGCTTCCCCGACCCCAGGTTCACACAGGGCGGGCACACGGACCCCAGGACGGACCCCAGGAGACCAGAGACCCAGTACCCTGTGACCACGCAGAGAAGACCCCACCACCATCACAACCAGAACCAGCACCAGCACCTGAACCCGAGCCCACACATCGACACCGGGGCATCAGGGGTGAGTGGCTTCATGGTCCTGTTCATCAGAGCCAAAATGTTCTATGTACCACTAATACTGTTGAAGAAATCTCTCTATGGTCTCTCTCTGGTCTCGCTCAAACCTCTCTCTCTGGTCTCTCCCTGGTCCCTCTGGTCTCTCTCTGGTCTCTCTCTGGTCTCTCTCTGGTCCCTCTCTGGTCCCTCTCTGGTCTCTCTCTGGTCTCTTTCTGGTCCCTCTCTGGTCCCTCTCTGGTCTCTCTCTGGTCTCTCTCTGGTCTCTCTCTGGTCCCTCTCTGGTCTCTCTCTGGTCTCTCTCTGGTCCCTCTCTGGTCCCTCTCTGGTCTCTCTCTGGTCTCTTTCTGGTCCCTCTCTGGTCCCTCTCTGGTCTCTCTCTGACCTCTCTCTGGTCCCTCTCTGGTCTCTCTCTGGTCTCTCTCTGGTCCCTCTCTGGTCCCTCTCTGACCTCTCTCTGGTCCCTCTCTGGTCTCTCTCTGGTCTCTTTCTGGTCCCTCTCTGGTCTCTCTCTGGTCTCTCTCTGGTCTCTCTCTGGTCTCTCTCTGGTCCCTCTCTGACCTCTCTCTGGTCCCTCTCTGGTCTCTCTCTGGTCCCTCTCTGGTCCCTCTCTGGTCCCTCTCTGACCTCTCTCTGGTCCCTCTCTGGTCTCTCTCTGGTCCCTCTCTGACCTCTCTCTGGTCCCTCTCTGGTCTCTCTCTGGTCCCTCTCTGACCTCTCTCTGGTCCCTCTCTGGTCTCTCTCTGGTCTCTCTCTGGTCCCTCTCTGGTCTCTCTCTGACCTCTCTCTGGTCCCTCTCTGGTCTCTCTCTGGTCTCTTTCTGGTCCCTCTCTGGTCTCTCTCTGGTCTCTCTCTGGTCCCTCTCTGGTCTCTCTCTGGTCCCTCTCTGACCTCTCTCTGGTCCCTCTCTGGTCTCTCTCTGGTCCCTCTCTGGTCTCTCTCTGGTCCCTCTCTGACCTCTCTCTGGTCCCTCTCTGGTCTCTCTCTGGTCTCTCTCTGGTCTCTCTCTGGTCCCTCTCTGACCTCTCTCTGGTCCCTCTCTGGTCTCTCTCTGGTCTCTCTCTGGTCTCTTTCTGGTCCCTCTCTGGTCTCTCTCTGGTCTCTCTCTGGTCCCTCTCTGGTCCCTCTCTGGTCTCTCTCTGGTCCCTCTCTGACCTCTCTCTGGTCCCTCTCTGGTCTCTCTCTGGTCCCTCTCTGGTCTCTCTCTGGTCCCTCTCTGACCTCTCTCTGGTCCCTCTCTGGTCTCTCTCTGGTCTCTCTCTGGTCTCTCTCTGGTCCCTCTCTGACCTCTCTCTGGTCCCTCTCTGGTCTCTCTCTGGTCTCTCTCTGGTCCCTCTCTGACCTCTCTCTGGTCCCTCTCTGGTCTCTCTCTGGTCCCTCTCTGGTCTCTCTCTGGTCCCTCTCTGGTCCCTCTCTGGTCCCTCTCTGACCTCTCTTTCTGGTCCCCAGCTGCACCTGATCGCCCTGAACTCGCCTCAGTCTGGGAACATGCGTGGGATCCGAGGAGCAGACTTCCAGTGCTTCCAACAGGCTCGGGCTGTGGGCCTCAGAGGGACCTTCAGGGCCTTCCTCTCCTCCAAACTACAGGACCTCTATACCATCGTACGCAAGGCAGACCGGGACCAGCACCACATCCTCAACCTCAAGGTACATAGACACCAGAGGGATACCAGAGAGAGACCATAGCGACCATAGAGACCAGTGAGAGACCAGAGAGACCAGGGAGACCAGAGAGAGACCAGAGAGACCAGAGAGACCAGAGAGACCATAGAGACCAGAGAGAGACCAGAGAGAGACCAGAGAGACCAGAGAGACCAGAGAGACCAGAGAGAGACCAGAGAGACCATAGAGAGACCAGAGAGACCAGAGAGACCAGAGAGACCAGAGAGACCAGAGAGAGACCAGAGAGACCATAGAGAGACCAGAGAGACCAGAGAGACCAGAGAGACCAGAGAGAGACCAGAGAGAGAGAGAGAGAGAGACCAGAGAGACCAGAGAGACCAGAGAGAGACCAGAGAGAGACCAGAGAGACCAGAGAGACCAGAGAGACCATAGAGACCAGAGAGAGACCAGAGAGAGACCAGAGAGACCAGAGAGACCAGAGAGACCAGAGAGAGACCAGAGAGACCATAGAGACCAGAGAGAGACCAGAGAGAGACCAGAGAGACCAGAGAGACCAGAGAGAGACCAGAGAGACCATAGAGAGACCAGAGAGACCAGAGAGACCAGAGAGACCGGAGAGACCAGAGAGAGACCAGAGAGACCAGAGAGACCAGAGAGACCAGAGAGAGACCAGAGGGACTTCAATCTCCTTGAACTTGTAAATGTGTTTTTTCCAAAGGGTCAAGTCTTGTTTGAAAACTGGGAGTCGATCTTTGGGGAAAACGCTCGGAAACTGACGGAGAACGTTCCCATTTACTCCTTCGACGGTCGGGACATCCTCCGGGACAGCGCCTGGTGAGTGTGACATCACCACAGTGTGACATCACCACAGTGTGACATCACCACCCTGCTCTTCTCCCTGGTCTCCTTCCGCTCTCCCCCCTGGTCTCCCCCTTCTCCCTGGTCTCCCCCGCTCTCCCTCTGGTCTCCCCCCACTCACCCTCTGCTCTACCCCTGCTTTCCATCTGCTCTCCCTCTCCTCTCCCCCTCCTCTCGCCCTGCTCTCCCCCCCACTCTCCCCCTGGTCTCCCCCTGGTCTCCCCCTGCTCTCCCCCTGCACTCCCTCTGCTCTCCCTCTGGTCTCGCCCCAGTCTCACTCTGCTCTCCCTCTGCTCTCCCCCTGCTCTCCCTCTGCTCTCCCCCCCTCTCCCTCTGCTCTCCCCCCTCTCCCTCTGCTCTCCCACCATTTCTCTCCCTCTGCTCTCCCCCCTGCTCTCCCCCTGCTCTCCCTCTCCTCTCCCTCTCCCTCTCCCCCTGCTCTCCCTCTGCTCTCCCCCCTGCTTTCCCCCTGCTCTCCCCCCTGCTCTCCCCCTGCTCTCCCTCTCCTCTCCCCCCTCCTCTACCTCTGTTCTCCCCCTGTTCACCCCTCTCCTCTCCCCCTGCTCTCCCCCCTCCTCTCCCCCTGCTCTCCCTCTGCTCTCCCTCTCCTCTCCCTCTGCCCTCCCCCTCCTCTACCTCTGTTCTCCCCCTGGTCTCCCCCTCCTCTCCCCCATGCTCTCCCCCTGCTCTCCCTCTCCTCTCCTTGTGCTCTCCCCCTGCTCTCCCCCGCCTCTACCTCTGGTCTCCCCCTGTTCTCCCCCTCCTCTCCCTCTGGTCTCCCTCTGGTCTCGCCCCGGTCTCACTCTGCTCTGTGGTTCCAGGCCTGAGAAGAGCGTGTGGCATGGGTCCAGCGCTCGGGGTCAGCGTCAGACGGATAATTACTGTGAGACGTGGAGAGCGAGTGACGGAGCCGTGAGTGGACTCTCCTCCTCTCTGACCTCTGGACTCCTCCTGGTCCAGACCTCCTCCTCCTGCTCCTCCCAGCACATCGTCCTCTGCATCGAGAACGCTCTGAGCCCTCACAGCAAATAAGACCCTCACAACCCCCACAGGCACATACAGGAGGAGCCCGAGGACTGCAAGGAGCTGAGGGCAAAGAGGAGCCAGTCTCGTACCGTTCTCTAACTCCGGGGTGTTCCAGGATGTTTACACTGAGTTCTACTTCAGAGTCTGTTCCATCGTCTCCTAACGAACCACGGTCCTCACTGTCACATGGTTCATCTTTCATGGTTTCAGTGATTTCTGTGCTTTCTCTGGTCTCTTCCTGGTCTCTCTCTGGTCTCTTTCTGGTCTCTCCCTGGTCTCTCTCTGGTCTCTCTATAATCTCTTGCTGGTCTCTCTGGTCTCTTGCTGGTCTCTCAGATCTCTTGCTGGTCTCTCAGGTCTCTTGCTGGTCTCTCAGGTCTCTTGCTGGTCTCTCAGGTCTCTTGCTGGTCTCTCTGGTCTCTTGCTGGTCTCTCTGGTCTCTTGCTTGTCTCTTGCTGGTCTCTTGCTGGTCTCTTGCTGGTCTCTCAGGTCTCTCTCTGGTCTCTTGCTGGTCTCTCTGGTCTCTTGCTGGTCTCTCAGGTCTCTTGCTGGTCTCTCAGGTCTCTCTCTGGTCTCTTGCTGGTCTCTCTGGTCTCTTGCTGGTCTCTCAGGTCTCTTGCTGGTCTCTCAGGTCTCTCTCTGGTCTCTTGCTGGTCTCTGGTCTGTCAAAGAGACGATGGTACCTCTCTTACCTCGTCAGTGTGAACATCCTGAATATTTTTAGTTTCTGGATTTTCTGCCGTCCTTTTTTCCCTTTGTTTTGTTTTGTGACTTTCGTCCAATGAACTGTGAGCTTGTGCTTCTGGCTTCAAACTGACTTTTTATTCAGAAATGTTTTCCACTTTTGAACAGTTGTCACTACCGTCCTCCTCTGGTGTCGCTCCACGTCACGAAACGCCAGGAACTCCAAAGACAAAGAACTTGAACATTTAACATTTGTTTTCCTCACAAAGATCTTGGCATTTGGTCCCACAGGAGGAGAGCCCGAGACTGTTTACAGATGGACAATGCTAATCCGCTAGCTCAATGCTAACCTGCTAGCTAAATGAAAATCTGTTAGTCGATGCTAACTCGCCAACTCAGTGACGCCCAATAGGGAAGTGCTCATGGTGAAGTTTGGCTCAGTCACGCCATCGGAACAAATGACCATAGTAACGTCTTATTAACCGAGCGCGACGTCTGTACGGAGAAATATCAGAGCGCGGCCTTAATGTACAGACCGAGCCGTATCAGACCGAGCCGTATCAGACCAAGCCGTGTCAGACCGAGCCGTATCAGACCGAGCCGTGTCAGACCGAGCCTTAATGCACAGACCGAGCCGTATCAGACCGAGCCTTAATGCACAGACCGAGCCGTGTCAGACCGAGCCGTGTCAGACCGAGCCGTATCAGACCAAGCCGTGTCAGACCGAGCCGTATCAGACCGAGCCGTGTCAGACCGAGCCTTAATGCACAGACCGAGCCGTATCAGACCGAGCCTTAATGCACAGACCGAGCCGTGTCAGACCGAGCCGTATCAGACCGAGCCGTATCAGACCGAGCCGTGTCAGACCGAGCCGTATCAGACCGAGCCGTGTCAGACCGAGCCGTGTCAGACCGAGCCTGATATTTCTCTGTACAGACTGAGCAAGCGAGGTTAATAAATGTTTTATTATATGACTCTCGTCTGTGTCTTTACCAATGCTTTTGAGATATTTGTGAAGTACGTTCATGTCCGACTTGGTTTTGTGTCATACGCGCTGCGGACAGATTGTCATGGTAACGGTCTGAGATGGGAAAATATCAGACCGGTAATCAGTCAATCAGAGCGCGCGTACGGCCCAAGTCATATAATATATGGATATTACCTCCTGCTGTAATGTTCAGTCTCTTCTGCATTAAGGCTAACACTGTGGTGATGTCACACTGTGGTGATGTCACACTGTGGTGATGTCACACTGTGGTGATGTCACACTGGTGACCTGAGGACTGCGGTAGTGTCTCGTCTCTGATTGGTTCATAATAAACTCATATTTCCTCAAAGGGACCAGAAACATCAAACGTTAACATTGTATTCTGTATTTTTACAAACGTGTTTTTTGTCTGTTTTTCTATATCAAATGTTATATCACAACTCTACTCTCTCTCTCTCTGGTCTCTCTCTCTGGTCTCTCTCTGGTCTCTCTCTGGTCTCTCTCTGGTCTCTCTCTCTGGTCTCTCTCTCTGGTCTCTCTCTCTGGTCTCTCTCTGGTCTCTCTCTGGTCTCTCTCTGGTCTCTCTCTCTGGTCTCTCTCTCTGGTCTCTCTCTCTCTGGTCTCTCTTTCTGGTCTCTCTCTGGTCTCTCTCTCTGGTCTCTCTTTGGTCTCTCTCTCTGGTCTCTCTCTCTGGTCTCTCTCTGGTCTCTCTCTCTGGTCTCTCTCTCTGGTCTCTCTCTCTCTGGTCTCTCTCTCTGGTCTCTCTCTGGTCTCTCTCTCTGGTCTCTCTCTCTGGTCTCTCTCTGGTCTCTCTCTCTGGTCTCTCTTTGGTCTCTCTTTGGTCTCTCTCTCTGGTCTCTCTCTGGTCTCTCTCTGGTCTCTCTCTGGTCTCTCTCTCTGGTCTCTCTCTCTGGTCTCTCTCTGGTCTCTCTCTGGTCTCTCTCTGGTCTCTCTCTCTGGTCTCTCTCTGGTCTTTCTCTCCGGTCTCTCTCTGGTCTCTCTCTCTGGTCTCTCTCTGGTCTCTCTCTGGTCTCTCTCTGGTCTCTCTCTGGTCTCTCTCTGGTCTCTCTCTCCGGTCTCTCTCTGGTCTCTCTCTCTGGTCTCTCTCTGGTCTCTCTCTCTGGTTTTATATCAAATGTCAGATGTTGTAACCTTTTATACTTTAGGTAATTTTCACATTTCCAGTTTGGGTTAAAACTGTGAAACTTTTAAAACATTAAGAAAATGATATTTATTTTTCAATGAAGTTTTAACATGAAATAATTTGGCACAAAATAAAAAGATCAAATTTATGTCAACGCTGGTCACAATATTCATCTTTACAGGACCTTTGTATTTACACATGTTCTCTGGTCTCTCTCTCTCTGGTCTCTCTCTGGTCTCTCTCTGGTCTCTCTCTGGTCTCTCTCTGGTCTCTCTCTGGTATCTCTCTCTGGTCTCTCGCTGGTCTCTCTCTGGTCTCTCTCTCTCGTCTCTCTCTCTGGTCTCTCTCTGGTCTCTCTCTGGTCTCTCTCTCTGGTCTCTCTCTGGTCTCTCTCTCTGGTCTCTCGGGGGAGGGGCACACGGAGGTAGCTATGGCGCCTTTACGATCTGCGGCTGGTTGGATGGTGTCTACTCTGGGCCACTGTTCTGATCCCTCAGTGTCCAGTCCAGCAGTGACCCTGTACAGTGTGTGCCCTTGGTTCTGGAAAACAACCTTATAGTCAAATTAAAAACAACAGAGATTGTGAATGAGATTGTTTTTCTCCCTAAAGTCAAAACAATTTTGGAGCGCTCTTGGCTTTCCAAGCGCTATGTAAATAAAGATTACTTATTATCTTACTAATGATGACATTTTTAAGACCAGAAACTCTCTTAATAAAAAACAAGACTCAAATCTAAAAAAACCTTTAAACTTTAAAATATGTGTACTTTTGTACTGTGTGTTTAATTATCTATGCATTCTTGGGTTTCACTTTATGGACTTTCCCCTTTACACTTGAACATTTATCTCAGCATCTATTCTACTAATTTAAAATAATTGCAGCATTTTTCAAATGAAGTCAATATGAATTGGAGCACATTTTAGAGCCAGTCTCCTCTGCTGTGGCATCAGCAACAGGAGGAGCAAGGTCAGGCGTGTAGTCAAAACAAAAAAGTCACCGCTTGAATGTAAATTGGGTGAAGTTTAACTTAATAATATAATACTTTTACAGCTAATCCTAATTCCCTCTTTCTTTTTTAGACGAAGTCTATAATCAATAATCACTTTTAACACAGATTCTAATTTAAATGTTTGAAAACGGCTTTTGTAACTAAAATAAAAACATAAAAACAAACACAACTCACAAAAAGTTAAGAAATAAGCAGCAGATTTAAAAAAATGGAATCTAGAAATATGTTAGGTCTAAAAAGAATTGCACAGCTTTAGCACTAATATTTGGATTTCAAAAAACATATAATATTCAAAACTTCTGTTTACTAAATGGTGTTTAAAAACGTTTAACTGTGTCATAACACAATGTTCAAATGGCAAATTTCGCAAATTTAACGGAATAAAAACTATGAAAAGCCTAAATCCTAAAAGCAGTAGCTTTGTTCTGATTCAGAGCCAGTAGCGAAGGAGGGGGCCGTTTCCCTGACAACGGCAGCAGATAGAGCTGCGCACACACAGGCAGAAAGCAGTGTTTTAGCAAAAATGCCAAAACAGAAAGAAGAATAACTTTCAAGATTACTTTGTTAAGCAAATATAACTTGTTGTTCTTTAAACTTTTGTCATCCAAGTCTAGAAGTGATCACTTTCCACACTTGTAACAAAAGGCACTCTTGTCTTTAAAGCCTAGCGTACATCGGACTGGCAACTGATCATCTACTCTCAGTTGCCAAAAGCCGCCTTGCAACTAGTTGTCTCCAGTTTCTCTGTCGATGTGCGCTAGGCTTTACGTTTACGCTTCTATTTTATCGAGGTAGCAAACTAATTTAAACTCAAAATCTCTTTCTAAAAAACAAAAACAACTGTTGGATACAACCCTCTCATAGCTTAACTGTAGATAAAACTCGGCAAAAAATGTAAATAACTCACGAAAGCTCTCATAGCTCAACTTTAGATAAAACTCTGCATTCTCCGGTGAACTCTGTTCACTCCAAAAAACAAAAACTCCCTTTTTCTGTATGTAATTTAAACCGTGATCACTGAAATATTGTTGCTTATGTACTTTTGTCATTTATCAGCCTGAAATTTGTCAATTTCAACGCTTTTGTAACAAAGGCCTCCTTAACACGTTTCCCTTTTTATTGCTTTTCTGTTTACACCATGGTTTCACTTTTGGATCCAACACTTTTCTCTGGCTAGCAA